GTGGTCCTGCTAGGTAAAAGCATGAAGACATTTCTGTGAGATCAGAAGACACTGGAGATTGCAGAATGGAACTTTTCTGCCTTTTTGCCATGAACAAGCACTAGTATGAGCAGAAAACAGACAACTGGATTTAAATGTAAAACAAAGCAAAGACCTTTTCACACTGCTTCACGCATTTTAGAGCAATTTACAGTTCAACTTCATTTCAGGTCTTCAAAATGAATATGGGCAAAGAAATGCTGTAAAAGACCATCAGGTACAATGAATTACCTCTGTTGGTGCTGCCTTAGGATTTTTTTTTTTTTCTGTGCAGTGTAATCCTGAGTATTGTAACATTTACAAAGCACTTCCAAATATGTTATTTCTATTTTATGAGAACCATAGAATATTATGGCAGGAAGGAATAATTTAGTCCATCTTTAGATGCCAGATGAGTGATGTAAGACTGAAAGAATACACAAGATTCCATAGCTAGTTGGAAGCAGAGAAAAGACCAGAACCCAACATTCCAAACAACTCGCCAACCTCGTAAGATTCTGAGAGGTCTCAGGACCTTTATCCTACATGAGCAAGAATAAACAGAACAAGTATTTTCTTGTGTTATGTCTACTGGAAATTTTTCTTACATATAAATAAGCCTCTTAGTAAAAATGTCTGGATAACCCAAGGAGAATTTTATGTGCACGGAGAGGTAAAAGATTATAGAGGATAAACCAGGTTGCTCATAATTTAATATTTCTGCTGTCAAAGATTTTACAGCTTAGTGAATGCTAGTACATTGCGATAGTCTATCCCAGCAGTGTATTAATATTTATTAGTATTTGGTTATTTCTGGTACCTTGTGAGTCCCACTAGATTTAAGGAAAACACTAGCACTGGGCATACACAGGCTTTTTACATGTGCCTCAATCATTCCTCTTATGTACCCCTTACTAAGCCATTTCAAAACAACTTTCTTTGTAGTCTAGAGCTAGCTAGCTTTGCCTTCTTTACCCACTGCAAATAAAGATTCTTGATATTACATATACTGTTACCTGTCACAGGGTTTTCTTTTATCTTTAATTTGATCTATCTTTCTATTTTCACTGCATAAATAAATGCAATAAATGCTCATTGCAACCTCCACCTCCCAGGTTCAAGAGATTCTCCTGCCTCAGCCTCCCAAGTAGCTGGGATTACAGGTGCCCACCACCATACCTGGCTAATTTTTGTATTTTTATTAGAGACAGGGTTTCACCATGTTGGCCAGGCTGGTCTCAAACTCCTGACTTCAAATGATCTGCCTGCCTTGGCCTCCCACAGTGCTAGGATTATAGACGTGAGCCACCGTGCCCAGATGTGTTGATCTTTAATATAGATTGAACATCTCAAATGTTCAATCTATATTAAACATTTAGATCTATATTTCTTTTAAATCTGTATCAAAAGCTCCAAAATGGTAAGCTTTTTGAGTGACAATATATCACTAAAAGGAAGCATCCGCAGCAGCATTTTGAATTTCAGATTTTTGAATTTGGAAAGCTGAGCCAGTAAGTACATAATGCAAATATTTCAAAACCTGACAAAAATCTGAACTCTCAAACACTTCTGATCTCAAAAGATTTGAATAAGGCTACTCAACCTGCATTAGGTCCTACTCAGTTATTCCCAAATATTGGCCCAGATTGGCTAGATCAAAATCACTGAGGAATGTATTAAAAATATGTATATTCCTATGACCTATCTCAGACATTTTAATTTACTAGGGTTTAGCCAAAGAATCTGCTAAATCAAACTAATCATGCACCCCAGGTAACTACTGCTGTTTAACATTCCTTACTACTTCTTATTCCTGAGAAGATATGACTCAGGCCAGGCCTAGGCCTGATTTGGTATCAGAAAAAAAACTGCCCTGGCTGCCTGCAGTGGTTCACACATGCAATCCCAGCACTTTGGGAGGCTGAGGAGTTCAAGACCAGCCTGGCCAACATGGTAAAACATGTCTCTACTAAAACTCCAACAGTTAGCCAGGTGTGGTGGCACACACCTGTAATCACAGCTACTTGGGAGGCTGAGGCACAAGAACTGCTTGAACCCGTGAGGCAAGGTTGCAATAAGCAGAGATGGTGCCACTGCACTCCAGTCCGGGCAACAGAGCAAGACTGTCTCAAAAAAACAAAAGGAACACAAAAGAAAAAATTGCCCTGTCCTGATATGTTCTGAAGTATGTTGTTCTCAGCAGAACTCATAATAACTGTTGAGAAAACTGGAGGGGGAAGGAGGGAGAGAGGGGATCTTAAAAACTAAAAGATAAAGTAATAAAGACCTTGAGCATCATTGGTAGCCAGTGCCTGAAAAAGCCTTTCTTTTACTCCGTTAGTTGTCAGCAAAATCAACTTTCAACTTGAAGTCTCTAGGCAGCCAGCCTTTTTCTCTTGTGCTTGTTGGTAGCAATATAACAAAATATGATGGTCATAAAGCGATGTAAAGAGCTGCGGCTCATCCAGGTCAGATCTCCAATTTGTACTACGAAGGCTGAAGTAGAACACAGTAATTACCTGGCACTGGCAAACTAAGACTATTATTCTTAAAATCAATATTACACATAGAAAGATCCCACAAGTAATAACACTGAAGGAAAACAGTGACATTTTAGGTATATAAATGAGTAGAGGGCTGTTGCTTTTTTTTTTTTGAGCACATAAAAAGGGAAAAAAATCAATAGTAAGTTTTTAATAGGAATGAGGGGCTAACTTTATCTTATATACATGACTGCAATACAGCAAGGAGTTCTGCAACAGGAAACTCCAGAACTATGTCACACATAGTAAGCAAATGAATAAATATATTAAATAACTAATCAGGCCAGGCACATAACGTCCAAAGAATGTCACAGCTATAAAGCATAGAATAATGACCAGAATATAAGAATATAGGGTGACTGAATTAGAAAAACCAGCTGGTTTTTTTTTTTTTTTTTTTTTTTTGAGACGGAGTTTCGCTCTTGTTGCCCAGGCTGGAGTGCAATGGCGCGATCTCGGCTCACCGCAACCTCCGCCTCCTGGGCTCAGGCAATTCTCCTGCCTCAGCCTCCTGAGTAGCTGGGATTACAGGCACGCGCCACCACGCCCAGCTAGTTTTTTGTATTTTTAGTAGAGACGGGGTTTCACCATGTTGACCAGGATGGTCTCGATCTCTCGACCTCGTGATCCACCCGCCTCGGCCTCCCAAAGTGCTGGGATTACAGGCTTGAGCCACCGCGCCCGGCTCTGGTTTTTTTTTTAATATTCTAATGTGTATATACAACAAATAGAATACATATGAAAACCAAAAAAAAAGAGAGAAAAAAAAAGGGCAAGAAACTTAAAAAAAAAAAAAAGGTGGTCGGTCCATCTAGTCTTACATTGTAAGAATGTACCTTATGAAAAATAACAATCCATCAGTAAAAATTTTTAAAATGATTCACTGTGAACTAGAGATTTAGAATTCAAACTGTCCAAAAGGAAAATGTCATCTCAAAATCCACTTACGAATAATTACTAAAGTCTTTGGAATTTTCATGCTAGGAGGTGAAATCTGTTGCAAAGCTGAATTTATAAGGGGGGACTGTCCATTAAGAATATTTCTTCTTTAAATAGAAACTAATGGCTTCTTAGATGGTCCAAAGCATAGGCACCTGAATTCTGAAACATTATCTATCACAAACCTCCAGCATTCTCCAGAGAAAAAAACACAAGCCAACTTTTAGCTTCTTTGATTACAAATGCCAAACCTTTTTTTCAGGCTAGTAGATTTGATGTTTCTTCCTACATTTTAGCCCTGCTACAAGAAAATATCTTTTGTTTCAATACAAACTAGTGATTTGCAAGCCTGGCTGGTAGTCAGAATCACCTTTTAAAAAGTATAGATTTCCAGCCCACCAGCCAAAAGTCAATCTCTTAGTTGGGCCAAGTGTTTTTTACTTAAGTCATATTGAAGACCACTGAGTTAAATTATCTCCCTGTGTCCTCATGCAATGTGCACCTAGGTAAGTTACTTGGGATGGTAAAATAAGAGCAATCTTCATGTAAACAGAGAATAAATGTAAATGGTACAGAGGCAGAAAAATGAGGACCTGCTATTTTTCTTTAACAGAAGGGCTAAAAAATTAACAGACAGATATTCAAATGAAAATACAAATTCAAAGTAAAATAAACTTTTTTGGATTATTGGTTATTTTAGATGATCAACATCACCATTCCATTAGTACATAGTACAGAAAGACTACAGTTGAAAATAATATTCTACCAGTTCTCATTTCCAGATGATCCCATAATACAGAATACAATAAGGAAAAGATATATTCAAAATGAATAAGAACTATTAACCCTGTTTACATTGTGGGCATTGAGTCAATCGCCAACTGAAGCTGATAATTTTCTTTCAAGTTTTCCCACACCTAAAGAAAATTTCATTCTATAATACAGTTATACCAACTGTAAGCTATGATTTTCCAAAAAGAATAAGAAAAAAAGAAAAACTACCACCAACAAAGGCACTGAACTGCTGTGGCTTGCTTTTTTGTTGACCACCAACCTTTTTTTGTAAACTAGTGAAAGGTTACATTAAAAGATGACATAGAATCCAATCTAAAAAGATTGGACCCCAAAAGGCACTGCTCAAGCTACTAATTTGAAATGCTCAAAATGCATTCTCTTCATTTGTTGTCTCCTAACACAGTATTCAATATTTAATGACATTTGATATTTAATAACATTTGCTGTACATTATACAAAAGGGTCTGTAGGTTGAAGTGAATACAACTCTCCACACAAGCAAAATGTATACCTGCAAAATGAATGATGATCGTGTATCACTCGTACGCAGATATAACATAAAACCTAAGGTTCAACAATACTATTACACCAAAGGTCTAGCTAGACCTTTAGGAAACCCTACTACCTAAACCCATTCTCAGACAAGGGCTAAAGCACATTCTGCAGAGGCAAAAGAAAACAGAAGACAGTATTTCCAGAAAAGACTAGTTACAAACAGGAGCAAACCTGGACTCTTTACTCACCATTTTAATATTGCCGCCAACTATAACAGATTAAAAATGTACACATGACAAAGTGGAAAAAAGTCCCAAAATGCAACAGTTTCAGCAAAAGAACATACTGACTAAGGAATACTACAGTTAACATTGCTACAGTAAAAATGATGGCAAACAAGGATTTGGCACCACATTTACAAAGTAAAAGCATGCACTGTTAATACACTTTAGATGTCTCTCAACAGAAAAGGCCATGAAGATGGAAAACAAGAGGCACCTGTACAAAACTCCCCATAACTGAGACAAACAAGCAAGAATCAAAGTGGTCAATTTCGTAAATATCTAGCAGCAAAGTCACTGGTTCTGTCTGAAATTTAGTAATTTGCATTTCTGATTGGCAGCTGCCCTGGGTATGTCTGTATGCAAGAAGAAGACTTCATTATACCACATCAGCAGTAATTTGGTAATCTGCATAAACAAGGTTAACCTTCAACCATAAGCTTAAAGAAAAGAGAGAATGAGAATCTTATTGCAGAACTTTCGAATGTAATTACCATTTGGAAACCATAATGGTACTCTGAGCAGGATAATAACATAAACTTCATCAAAAAAGTTGTATTTATATCCCCAGTAACTGGAAAGAATTATAAGTAATTATGGAAGTATTATATTCTGACCATACCAAGAGTTAAAAACCAAGAGTTCCTACTAAAGAGGAATATTTTCAAGATGATCTGTCACATCATGTGCATAGTTAAGACTGTGTTTTAATAAAGATTCTTTTGCAAGTAAAGAAATAAAATTTAGTAAAGTTATTCTTCTCTTGACGAAAAAACCTTAAAAATGAACCACTGGTGGTTTGTTAAGAAGGGGAAAAAAAAGAGTAAGCTACATATTTTAAGTTCCAGAATGCAGCACCTCAACTTCACATCTGCCATAAGCATTTGAGATTAAGAAATCCAAGTGATGTCTTCATGATCGAATCACACTTTATAGTTCTTCCAATTCCAATATCTGACTTTAGCATCTCATGTCAATTAAAAGTTCCCTAATACAGATTGTGCTAAAGAGTGCTAAGATTCTGCATGCTGCTGCCATTCCCTGGTCCCGTTCATGCTTGTAGCTGCCTCACGAGACAGCAAAAGGTGTCTGGTCTCAACACTCCACACTGCAGTAACTAGAAGAGAAGAACATTCTTAATTAGAAAAAGTTTACAAAGCTAAGGGGCATCACTGTAGCACTATAACTACATTGTAGGAAGCTTTACCTTTCACTAACATCCATGCTTGTCAATAAAGTCCACATTCCTTTAAGTTGTTTTTAATGATGACATCTGTAACAGCATCAAAAACAAACTGCACATTCTTCGTGTCTGTGGCACAGGTGAAGTGAGTATAGATCTCCTTGGTATCTTTTCTTCTGTTCAGATCTTCAAACTGGCATTGAATATAGGCAGCTGCCTCTTCATATGTGTTGGAACCTAAAACAGACACCCAATACTCTCAGTTCAAACCATAACAGCTGCCTGAACTCAAATAAATCAGACCACTAAGATTTACTTATGGAGAGGGAATATAACCCAATTAAATATGAATAGAATTCTCTATTTCTGTTATCAAGGTGTTCATATATATATATATATATATATATATATATATTTTTTTTTTTTTTTTTTTTTTTTTGAGACAGAGTTTCGCTCTTGTTACACAGGCTGGAGTGCAATGGCACGATCTCGGCTCACCGCAACCTCCGCCTCCTGGGTTCAGGCAATTCTGCCTCAGCCTCCTGAGTAGCTGGGATTATAGGCATGCACCACCATGCCCAGCTAATTTTTTGTCTTTTTAGTAGAGACGGGGTTTCACCATGTTGACCAGGATGGTCTCGATCTCTGGACCTCGTGATCCACCCGCCTCGGCCTCCCAAAGTGCTGGGATTACAGGCTTGAGCCACCGCGCCCGGCCTAAGGTGTTTCTATATTTAGGTTATTAGTGAGAGTAGACTCTCATGGTAACCAAAATGAAATCATCACACACAAAAATTGAGTCTTTACCCGTTCATTTAGACTTCTCAACTAAAAAAAAATCTAGAAAGTGTAAAAGGAAAGTAGGAAGGTGCATTTCTTTTCTTTTCTTTTCTTTTCTTTTTTTGAGACGGAGTTTCGCTCTTGTTACCCAGGCTGGAGTGCAATGGCGCGATCTTGGCTCACCGCAACCTCCGCCTCCTGGGCGCAGGCAATTCTCCTGCCTCAGCCCCCTGAGTAGCTGGGATTACAGGCATGCGCCACGATGCCCAGCTAATTTTTTTGTATTTTTAGTAGAGACGGGGTTTCACCGTGTTGACCAGGATGGTCTCGATCTCTTGACCTCGCGATCCACCCGCCTCGGCCTCCCAAAGTGCTGGGATTACAGGCTTGAGCCACTGCGCCCGGCTTCTTTTTTTTTTTGAGACAGAGTTTCACTCTTGTTACCCAGGCTGGAGTGCAATGGCTCGATCTCGGCTCACCGCAACCTCCACCTCCTGGGTTCAGGCAATTCTCCTGCCTCAGCCTCCTGAGTAGCTGGGATTACAGGCACGTGCCACCATGCCCAGCTAATTTTTTTTATATTTTTAGTAGAGACGGGGTTTCGCCATGTTGACCAGGATGGTCTCGATCTCTTGACCTCATGATCCACCCGCCTCAGCCTCCCAAAGTGCTGGGATTACAGGCGTGAGCCACTGCGCCTGGCCCTGGAAGGTGCATTTCTAGGGAACACAATTGCTTAAAAGGTCTAAGAGAGGCTGTGTTCCTTGGAGCGATTTTGGAATAAAGAATTCAATAGTGTAAATTGTTCTTTTCAGAATCATTCCACAGTTTTAAGGAGGTTTAGCTTCAAAGCCTTAAGGTAGTAATTTAAATAAGGAAAAGTAATACACTTTAAAAGGGTGAATTTTAGGGTTTCTGAATTATGTCAATAAAGCTCTATCTATCTACCTATCTGTCTGTCTGTCTATTGAGACAGAGTTTCGCTCTTGTGGCTCAGGCTGGAGTACAATGACATGCTCTAGGCTCACGGCAACCTCCGCCTCCCGCATTCAAGTGATTCTGCTGCCTCAGCCTCCCAAGTAGCTGGGATTACAGGCATGCGCCACTATGCCCGGCTAATTTTTTTCCTTTTTACTTAACATTCTTGGAGTATATAATTTTGTATTGTTAGTAGACACAGGGTTTCTCCATGTTGGTCAGGCTGGTCTCAAACTCCTGACCTCAGGTGATCCGCCTGCCTCAGCCTCCCAAAGTGCTGGGATTACAGGCATGAGCCACTGTGCCCGGCCAAAGCTCTTATTTTTTTAAAAAAGAAAGAAGTGGCAGGAACCAAAAGTAAAGCCTGTCTCAACAATATTTATAATTAATATCTTTAAATCACTTGCTTTTTACACCATCTTGTCTACTTACAGAGCTTTTAGAGTAGCCTTAGAAACTGGCTGTAAAGGCCGGGCGCGGTGGCTCAAGCCTGTAATCCCAGCACTTTGGGAGGCCGAGGCGGGTGGATCACGAGGTCGAGAGATCGAGACCATCCTGGTCAACATGGTGAAACCCCGTCTCTACTAAAAATACAAAAAATTAGCTGGGCATGGTGGCGCGTGCCTATAATCCCAGCTACTCAGGAGGCTGAGGCAGGAGAATTGCCTGAACCCAGGAGGCGGAGGTTGTGGTGAGCCGAGATCGCGCCATTGCACTCCAGTCTGGGTAACAAGAGCGAAACTCCGTCTAAAAAAAAAAGAAACTGGCTGTAAAGCCAGGGAAACACAACAAAGACAATCCATTATTCCAATAAACCAGAGGCTATTTTCGGTAACATTATGCATAACAAAAAATATCAATAACAAAAATACGAAGACCAGGTAACAAAACAGAGCTTAAGGGAAAGACAAGGAGCCAGGTATGATGGCTCACACCAGTAATCCCTGTACTTTGGGGGCCACGGCAGGTGGATCACTTGAGGTCAGGAGTCCAAGACCAGCCTGGCCAACATAGTGAAACCCTGTCTCTACTAAAAATACAAAAAATGGTTAGCCAGGCATGGTGATGGGTGCCTGTAGTCCCAGCTACTCAGGAAGCTGAGGTAAAAGAATCGCTTGAATCTGGGAGGCAGAGGTTGCAGTGAGCCAAGATTGTGCCACTGCACTTCTGTCTGAGAGACAAAGCAAGATAGTGTCTCAAAAAAAAGGGGGGGAAACTAGTGGAGGAGGAAGAAAGGAATATTAATTAAAATATACAAGGAACTGAAGCAAAACAGCTTTGTAGGTGCTTGCGGCAGGTTCTTAAAATCTAGAGAATGACCTCCATAAATTAAAGGAAGCAGTGAAAAGTGAATTTTTGTCTGCTAGGAACAGATACTAATACCTGGCAAATAAGGACTGTAAGAATCTATGTAGAATGTAGACAATGGAGGATAGGCCTGGAAGTTCACAACAACAACAAAAATGGATATGATATTAAAGGCTCTTTGCTTGGTGTTAAAGACTCTAAGCTGAGTCTTCAAAATTAATGTCAATTCTTTTACTTATCTTACATATCTCTCCCACAATCCTAAAACTTGGCTGTTTTCTATAAACTAACCTAATTCTCACCTTCTTCTGTTCTTTACTCTGAACAGGTAACCACATTTCCAACTTCCCTGAGAAGACAGAGGCCACAAGGATTCAACTACATCTCAACTTTTTGGTCTACCACCTCACTCAAAATGTTACCTATCTGCACTTATTTGTAATTCTGGTCTTAAAGGTGTCTTACTTCTTGCTCAAAAATCAATTGCTCTACCTATACTCTTTTTAAAAAATTACTGAGGAAAATTAACATAACAGATATTTAACCATTTGAAGTGTACAATTCAGTAGCACTTAAGTGTATTCACAATGTTATGCAATCACCACCTCTCTATAGCATCAAAACTTTTTCACCACCCTATTCCCATTAAGTAATCACTCCCCATTATCCCCATTCTGGTAACCACTAATAAGCTTTCTGTCTATGGATTTGCCTATTTTGGATATATCATATAAAAAAGTATTGGCCTCTTTTACTTAGCACAGTGTTTTGAGTTTCATCCAAGTTGTAGCATCTATTATTATTCCTTTTCATGGGTAAATAATATTCATTGTATGTATATAACATGATTTTGTTTATCCATTTGTCCTACCTAGACTCTTTATTGAGACAGTCTCACTCTGACGACAGGATGGAGTGCAGTGGCACGAACTCGGCTCACTGGAACCTCTGACTCCCAGGTTCAAGCGATTCTACTGCCTTAGCCTCCTGAGTAGCTGGGATTACAGGCATGTGCTACCACCTCCAGCTAATTTTTTTTTTTTTTTTGAGACGGAGTTTCGCTCTTGTTACCCAGGCTGGAGTGCAATGGCGTGATCTCGGCTCACCGCAACCTCCGCCTCCTGGGTTCAGGCAATTCTCCTGCCTCAGCCTACCGAGTAGCTGGGATTACAGGCATGCACCACCATGCCCAGCTAATTTTTTGTGTTTTTAGTAGAGACGGGTTTTCACCATGTTGACCAGGATGGTCTCAATCTCTTGATCTTGTGATCCACCCGCCTCAGCCTCCCAAAGTGCTGGGATTACAGGCTTGAGCCACCGTGCCCAGCCTAATTTTTGTATTTTTAGTAAAGATGGGATTTCACTATGTTGGCCAGGATGGTCTCAATCTCCTGACCTCATTATCCACCAGCCTCAGCCTCCCAAAGTGCTGGAATTACAGGCGTGATCCACCAAGCCTGTCCTGTCCTATCTAGACTCTTAATTCCTTTTTTCCCACCTGCTTACAAATCTTGCTCCTTCAATGACATCCGGTTTTTTAAATACCTCTTTTGTTTATAGGATCTTAGCCCTCAGCCTACAAACATTTTTAAATCTCTCCTTTCCCTTTAAACCCACATTGCTCAAGAGTAGTCTACACTTGTCTTCTTTCTTCACTTTCTACTCTGTGATTCACTGTACTCACCTTTCCACTGCCACTGCTCTCAAAAGCAGGTCAACAACTTCCTAACTGTTAACTCCAAAGGTCCTTTTTCAGTATGTATCTTGCTTATCTGCAGATAACACTGTTGACTGAAATATTTAATCAACTCACTTTTTAACCTCTTCTTTTGGTTTTTTGTTTTTTTTTGAGATGGAGTTTCGCTCTTGTTACCCAGGCTGGAGTGCAATGGCGCGATCTCGGCTCACCGCAGCCTCCGCCTCCTGGGTTCAGGCAATTCTCCTGCCTCAGCCTCCTGCATAGCTGGGATTACAGGCACGCGCCACCATGCCCAGCTAATTTTTTGTCTTTTTAGTAGAGACAGGGTTTCACCATGTTGACCAGGATGGTCTCGATCTCTTGACCTCGTGAGCCACCCGCCTCGGCCTCCCAAAGTGCTGGGATTACAGGCTTGAGCCACCGCGCCCGGCGTTTCTTTTGGTTTTTATGGTATCTTTCTTTTCTTCCTGCCAATAGAAGCTGCTCTTCTCTCTCATTCTGTGGTCCTTTACTCTCTTCATTCTATAATATTATCTCCATAGGTCATTTCACCCATTTCCATGTTTTCATTACTGATTATCTCAAACCCCAACCTCTCTTCAACCTCAAATATAACTGCCCATGAGACATTATTTTGATGTTCCATAAATAATTAAAAATCAACATTCCAGCCAGGCACAGCGGCTCATGCCTGTAATTCCAGCACTTTGGGAGACTGAGGCAGGTGGTTCACCTATGTCAGGAGTTCAAGACCATCCTGGCCAACACAGTAAAGCCCTGTCTCTACTAAAAATACAGCGACTAACTGGGCATGGTGGTGCACGCCTGTAATCCCAGCCACTCAGGAGGCTGAGACAGGAGAATCACTTGAGCCCAGGAAGCAGAGGTTGCAGTGAGCCAAGATTTCAGCCACTGCACTCCAGCCTACGCGACAAAGCAAGACTCCATCTCAAAAAAAAAAAAATCAACATTCCCAAATTTGAATTCAGGTTATAGCACTAGCATCCAAGACAGAAACCTGAGAGTACCTCTGACTCTTCCCATTCCTTACCCTGCTTTACCCTTTCACTTTATTATAGAAAGAATTTACAGTGTCTCCACTAACAAGAGTTCCTCTTCCTTGGAAATACCTGACTCTCATCTGTAAGTTTCATAGTGATCCAGCCCCGGCAGTTACATTTGTGCCCCTGACCTCAACTGACTGGCCTACAGACTTCTGCCTGGCTTCATGGCCAGATTCTCTCCTTGGAATTTGAAACCAGGGCCAAGCAATCCCAGTCTAGCCTGATCTTTTTTAACAGAGATACAGAAACTGTGACTAGGCTGTTATCACATAAACTGAATAGCAGAGAAAGTTGGAAAGGAGAGAAAGAAATATAAAAAAGATACACAGAGAAGAGAGAAAAAAGATGGGGGATAAAGAGTGCTTCCAGGGTTCTCGACCATTATTTCCTAGTTCTAATTCCATTCTAAGACCTGTCCATTCTTGCCCTTGGGTTCTGTGATATATCCCTTAATCCCCATCCAAAGTTTTTACTTCTATCCTAAGTCCTTAGTTATTCAAATCCCCTACTATCTATCTTTATTATCATTTATTGCATAATCTCTCTAAAGCACAGTTTCTACTGTATCATGTACCCCATGATATGGATCATGGTAGGATATTAAATCCTTCAACTGATGTCACTGTCTCAGCATGAGATATAAGGCCCTCCATGAGTTGACCTCTGACCACCTCTCCAACAGCTTTTCCCTACTAATACCAAATTCTTTCTTTGTTTCACTACTAGCCATGCCATCTTTCTACCTTCATATTTTCATATATGTAATTCCTTTTCTAAAATGCTTTTATTCCCGCCTGCCTGATGATTTCCTATTCATCCTCTTAGTAGCTGTAGAAAAAAACTACACTGACCTCATCAGAAGTTAGTAACCACTTCTATTCCACTTCTATTAATGCATTTTACACTATAAAATTATTTATGTGCAACTGTACACGATAAAATTATTAATGTACATTTTACACTATAATAAAATTATTTATGTGCAAGTATACACTATAATAAAATTATTTATGTCCCTCTGCAACTACATGTCAGTTTCTTGGGCACAATGATTGCAACTGACCCTTGTATTTTCTTCAACATATACCAAATTTTGCTTTATTTTTTGTGAGACAGGGTCTTGCTATGTTGCCTAGGCTGATCTTAAACTCTTGGGCTCAAATGATCCTCCTGCCTCCCCTTTCCAAGTAGCTAGAATTATAGCCACCATGCCCAGCTCCCAAATTTACTTTTTCTGTTTTATTTTCCTCAAAAAATGAAGATAGAAATTTAAAATAAACACAGAAAACTCAATTATGGCTGATATGGTACTCTTGACTTAGGGAGTTTTAATCACAGGCTCAATGCCAATGCCACTATCACTGAATATTCTCCATCAATCACTCAAAACAAAAGGCAGTTTCATAAATGTCACCAAAGTGTTGATCTAAGTAAGACGTGTATTTCCAATAAAATCTTTCATAACCCTTTACCTGTGTATTCTGGGTAACAGATAGTTAATGGACTCTTCTTTATTTTTTCCTCAAAAAGGTCTTTCTTGTTAAGGAAGAGAATGATTGAAGTGTCTGTAAACCATTTGTTATTACAAATGCTGTCAAACAGTTTCATGCTTTCATGCATTCGGTTCTGAAAAAGAAATAAAGGATGATAGGTCAGTAGCAAATAGTAAAAGTGGATTAACTTAATGAAAAAGACAAATCAACAACTTTTACAGCACTGAATGGCATTCATGGAAATAAGTCAGACATCAGTAAGATAAAGTTGAGTGTTAGTCCTCATTTTTGTAATTTTTAGGGGTGAGGAGGTGAGAGGAAAGGTTGGCTAACAATAGCACTTAACCCTTTCCATATACTCCATGTGGCTATCACATCTCTTTTAGAGTAACAGGGCACAGGCCAGTATTTTGAAAGTCTAATCTCACTTACCAGGAGAAAAATTAAAAATACTAAGATTTGGTTGAATGAGCAAATAAACACACACAATCTTCCTAATAGTTATTTTCCATTTCCTGGCTACATTAGACAGGTTTACCAGAAGCTCCAACATACCATCTCCTCATCCTCAGCCAGAACAAGGTCATAATCACTGAGGGCCACACAGAAGATAATTGCTGTCACTCCCTCAAAACAGTGAATCCACTTTTTTCGTTCTGATCTTTGGCCACCTACGTCAAACATCCTGCGCAAGGGGAAAGAAAGCACAAATTCATCAAGTTCACACATACACCTCTCCCTAAACTGAAATGATTAGTAAACTTCCCACTATTACATATTCAAAACTTCATTTATAATAGAAGACAAACAAGGAATAGATTAAATGTAGTCAAAATAATTATCCTGGCTAAAAGTACAAGAGAACAACACGAGGAAATAAAATTTGTGAATAATCTAAATTCTCATCTTAGACAGACAGTTGAGCCTCCTCACTATCAAAGTTTGTATCAGATGTGTGAAAAGTCAGCAGAATAAGCACTGGAATGGATTAAAGGACGGAAAGGGGAAAAGACAGGAAAAGCGAAGAGCTACATAATACAGTTTGAGATAATAACAAAAATAATGACATATTTATTGAGTGCTTACCATGGTGCCAGACACTACTACTAAACATCTTAACTCATTTTGCTCTTGTAACACTCCTATAAGTAGTAGTATTATCCCAATTACACAAATAGAGAAATCGAGGCACATACAATGTTAAATGATTTGCTCAAAGGTGCACTACTAACAAACAGGGACTGGGGATCCAAACCTAGGCACTCTAACTCCTGCACCCTTGTTCTGACTCCCAAAATGGTTTGCCTCTGAACCCCCAATTTGCACTCTGCTTCCATAACTTCTCCCTACTAATTCAAGTTTGTTTTCCTCACTCTAAAAAAAGAAAATCTGGATATTGTAAAAAAATAATAATAAATTATATTTTATGGCAGGATTCTATGAACCCAATATCTAAAAAACAGCCTTGACCAATATTTTGAAACTCCAAGTCTTACTTAAACCTAATTAATAAAAACAAAGCCTCAACTGTTCACAAACTTTATGTTCCACTCCAGATTAGTTTAATCCGCTACTCTCTTGCGAGTAACTTACTTGGTATTCTGGGTCAACTGCTGAACTTCTATCAACAGCATCCTCAACTACTTCCTATAGTGAAAAGAACATCTGCACTGCTTTGTGTTTTAGCTGATACTTAGTTCTAATGACATATGCATGCATGTGTAACTCTTGTGATCTGTCTTTGATGAAAATGATAAAATTTTTAAAGGCTAAACTCTGCCAAACTGGTTTAATGTATAAGATCTATACTGACTAGGGGCCTACATTTCCAGAGACATTTTTCCCCCAGAAATTCAAAGAAATAAGACACAGTTGGTGATTTCTAAACATATGCTTGAAAGAAATTCCCTCTTTAAGACCCAACTCTTCCTTTGGGTTGACTGTGCACAATTCTTTTTGACCTTTGGTCACGACACCTGGAATGATATAATCACAAGCTGGCTTTAATATAGGGTCATATTACAGGTTTCAGGAAGGCTAACAGCATATATTTCACCATGGAAGTCTCAAGGGGAGATACACCAATAACTTCAGTTTACTCCCCCATTTTCTTCTACAATGTCTACACAACACTATGAAGTTCCAAGGTGGGCTTTTAGCACATATTAACATTTACAATATCATTCACTAAGAGATCAACATTTTATAAACATTACCTCATTAACTGAGAGGCAAGTAAGCAATTACACAATGCCTTGCATATGGTAGATGCTCAATAAATGTTTGAATAAATGGATAGTAGTTTTGCCTAGAGAGAAGAGGAAAAGGAAGAAATGATAGTACTTCATAACAAGATATCTACATGCCAACAATAAAGTAGGCGTGGCACCTTAATTAGATCTAGCTACTGATCCTGGCATAAAAAGACAGGACAGTTAGGATTTGCCTAACTAAGGACTGATCTATTTAACAACACCAATAAGAAAGTTTCTGACACTAAATAATGATCACAAGTTTTAATTATAAATAGATTGCAAACCTTATACAAATAAATCTCATTCTTACGGTCTCACAAGTAATAATCCATGCGGTCTTTGCTGCTCTTGCTAAATAAACTCATCAGTACTAAAGATTAGCAGCAAGTCTATTCTACAATCATTCATAGCTAAAATGCTATTTTCCTGCACCAGAAAAAAATCCAGTTTGGTGTATTAGGATTTTAAGCCCCCAACTGGTATCTAGTAATATGCAAACCCTATATGGATTTCACAACTCCTGTGGAACAGTTGTTTTCAGAGAAAAAACTGAGAGGATCTGAGTTATATTTGTATGCAATAATGCTGAACATCACATTCTACATATAAGCATAATGAGATAACTAAGGAACACATGGTATATTGAAGGGGAAAAGTTTACTCCTAATCTCAAAGGTCACAAAAGAAGAAAGTAAGAATCAAAAAAAAAATTCTCAAATTTATAAAAGACCGTTAACACAGAGACAAGCTGAGGCCTGTTTTAGAATTACTAATGATCATGCGAAAATTCTTTGTATTAGAATATGAGAATTTTCTCTCTCTAAAATAATCACAGTTGGGCTGGGCACAGTGGCTCACACCTGTAATCCCAGTATTTTGAGACCATGAGGCGGCAGAATTGCCGGGGCCCAGGAGTTTGAGGCCAGCCTGGGCAATAAAGAGAGACCCTGTACCTACATAAAATTTTGTTTAAACATCAGCCAGGCACAGTGGCATGAGCCTATAGTTCCAGCTACCTGGGAGGCTGAGGCAGAAGGATCAGTTGAGCCCAGGAGGTCAACGCTGCAGTGAGCTGTGATCACAACACTGCACTCCAGCTTGGGTGACAAAGACCCTGTCTCTAAAAAATAAATAAAATTTTAAAAACAAACGAAAAAAATCACTGTTTATATGTCATCATATCAACCAAAAATCCCTCTAACCCTAAGTCTATTTTCCATTCTGCACTGTATTAAGAACTTAATTGTGGCCGGGCGCGGTGGCTCAAGCCTGTAATCCCAGCACTTTGGGAGGCCGAGGCGGGTGGATCACAAGGTCGAGGGATCGAGACCATCCTGGTCAACATGGTGAAACCCCGTCTCTACTAAAAATACAAAAAATTAGCTGGGCATGGTGGTGCGTGCTTGTAATCCCAGCTACTCAGGAGGCTGAGGCAGGAGAATTGCCTGAACCCAGGAGGCGGAGGTTGTGGTGAGCCGAGATCGCGCCATTGCACTCCAGCCTGGGTAACAAGAGCGAAACTCCGTCTCAAAAAAAAAAAAAAGAACTTAATTGTGCATGATACTATGTACAAATTACTTCAAGAGCCATGAAAATCTTGCTCCATTCCATCAACTTGAAGGGAAATTCAAACCAATAAGAAAGAAGTGACACTGGTGAGAAAAGCATTTCTATTTAAATTCAAAATGGCATAACCAAACCATATAACTTATAAAAAAAAACTGGTTTTCTATAAGTTTAATATTGTTATCCTATAAAACAAATATTCACTATCTGTTTTGGTGAGTCTAACGAAAAGCAGCTGAAAAGAATATTTTTAAAAACAAATCAGTTATCACAGGAAAAATTCTACTGGGAGGCAAGTTACCATTTATTTTTGAATTTAAATTCCTCTAAATGGACACAGATATTTGATGCTACTTGGAGAAAGAAGAGCTGTTTGGGCCCCCATTCTGTTAAAATATTCAAATAATGCTGATAAAAGTTTCTAAACCAAGGAATATTGCCCAGAGAAATTTTACCCTGATTAAGAGAGGGTAAACTAAAACAAAAAATATTTGCATTTGGCACCTCTAGCAAAAAGGCTAATGACTTACTTGAAGTATAGGTCTTTGAAGGTGAAATGCGTTTCTACAATGCCTGTGGTCTTCACTCTTGTCCGAAGAACATCTTGCTGAGTTGGAATGTAGTTAGATTGAGATATTCTATCCAGATCATTTAGGTAACTAAATAAAGACACACATTTACTTTTACTTGGTGAAGCCAACCATGTGCATAGCAAAACAGACTAAAGTAGTTCCTATTCTAAACCTGTTACTAGTTACTCAAGTGGCAAAACAGAATCAGATCTTCAGTATCACAGAAATTTTAAGAAGCCGGGCACGGTGGCTCAATGCTTGTAATCCCAACACTTTCGGAGGCCAAGTCAAGAGGATTGCTTGAGGCCAGGAGTTCAAGACCAGCCTGGGCAACATAAAGAGACCCCTGTCTCTACAAAATATTTTTAAATTTAGCTAAGCATGGTGGCACATGCCTGTAGTCCTAGCTAATCCTGTGCCACTGTACTCCAGTCTGAATGACAGAAATCCCTGTTTATTAAAAGAAAAAAGAAAGAAAGAAAGAAAGAAAGAATAAGAAAAAAACATGAATCCGCCATAGCACAATTAAAATACAGTCTATATATATATTAACAAAAGTAAGTTTAATTCTACAGAATTAAACTGTGAAGGCCAATTAAAAAACATAAAATAGAACAGGAAATGTTCTTATTAAAGAAAAATTCCTGAAATGTAATACTAAGTTAACTGCATTGTACAATACCAAAACGAAACTATACCAAAAGTCCTCAGACAATTAAACTTAATAGGTCACTGTGTATTTAACCATTTGACAGGACATTAGAAAATGGTGTTTGATTTACTAAAGTTAAGAGAACTATAGTCAGTAAGAATTAATATTTTCAGTATTAATTAAGAATTAATATCTTCGGTAAACAAGAGTCAAGGAGGTTTCCGGTTTTTTTAATCTAAACAAAAAATAAATTATAAATACCTCCAAAAAAATTAATTTGTTCAGGGAAATAATTAAAGACTGCTTCAAAACTATATTCTTTGCTGATTCCAGGCTAGAACACTGATGAGGAGAACACACCAATATAAGTGAACCATTATTATCTATAAAACAAAATACTATCACTAATATGAAGACGCAAGCTTAGATCAACAGTTATGAAAAACACTATAATGTAAGCACATGTAGTTAGAGGATTCAGAGCTTTCTGAATGAATGATGAAAAAAAGCAACTATAATCTATCTTTTAGGATCACTGGGAGAATTATGTAAGCTATTAATACCTGCAAGTAAAATATGTTATTAAAAGATAGGCAAGAATCCTGAAATGTTTCTAAAGCCAAGTTCTCACTGAAAGAATAAGCAAGTTTTCAAATACAGTCATGTGCCACATAACAATGTTATGGTCAACAGCAGACTGCGTAAATGTATGACAGTGATCCTGTAAGATTACAGTGGAGCTGAAACATTCCTAGCCCCTAGTGACATCATAGCCTTTGCATTACCTTTTTATGTTTAGAGATGTTAAGATATACAAATACCATTGTGTTACAACTGCTACAGTACTTAGTACAGTAACATGCTGTACAGCTTCACAGCATAGGAGCAACAGGTTACACCATATTAGCTTAGATGGATGGTAGGCTATATCTAATTCTATGTACATATACTCTACAATGTTTGCACGATGACAAATCACCTAATGATGCATTTTTCAGAACGTATCCCTGTCCTTATGTACAACCTGACTATATAATTTCTTTTTGTAACAATTTAAGCTAGAATGAGAATGTGAAAACTAGAAAAATAATAATATTGGAGAAAATACCTTAATGCTTAGAAGTGCCCTCATCTTTTAAAGATACAGATAACAAACGCTCACCAGGCCCCACAAAAGTACGTTTAAAAAATTACATTCTGAATTTAGGTTTTATAAGTAAGTATGCGTAAAGAGGTAAAATAGGATAACATATAACAGCTTAATAAAATTATTCATTATAAAGTCTCTTAAAACTATGTTAACACTCAAGATAATGCCCCTGACAAAAATGTATTTCAACTTCATTCCATGAGTCAATCATCTCTTTCTATACAAAGTCTCCTATTGTGATCTGGCAAAAGATTTATTAGTGGTAACTAGTACCAGAGAAATCCATAATGCAGCCCAGACACAGAGAGCTGGCTGCATAAAAAGGAATACCACAATTCTAATTTCCCTCTCTAGCTGGCTATCAGTGCCAAGTCCTTACACAGAGGGAACTTATGAGTTGGAACAGATTCAGAACCCAGCCACAATATGATGTCTCTCCTTCACTTGCTTATTATAAACATGCCGTGGAACAAATTCTGTGGTGCCAAGTCTCCCATTTACATTCCAAAAGGGATTTCCCCCCCCAAATCATACAAATGACCAAGGGCTCTATAATCCCAAATTTAGATAATTGTTATAAAGCACTGTATAGACTTCTAAGAGTGTTTATTACTTAAACATTTCCTTAAGGATGGGAACTAAACTTTCTCTGTTGTCACCAAGTTATTCTCTGTTACAATTTCACAGAGGAAAAGTACTTACTATGAAGCAGAATCATTGAGCTGATACTCCCTGGATCTGCTGAAGCAAGCTTGTACCCCGCCATCTCGCCATAACCGTTTAATCACTCCTGCTAGTTCTGGAGTCATGACTCCTTCTTCAGCACTGCCAGCTAAAACAAATAACTGCCGGGCATCATCCTGAAGAAAGCGGTTAAGAAAGAGACAGATGACTCTCCATTTCTTTAAGACTTGATGATAGTCTCTTTAAAACATACACACATTACATGTTATTTTAAAAGAGGTGTTATTACAGAGACCTTTTCTAACAGGCCAGCATGACAGATTATATAATTAAGTCTTTCCTCATCCTCATTCCACTACAGTTTTAAGTCCAGAACTGAGGTGAGGAATTGTTTTACTACCCCACCACTCCTCCACACATCACCAGAAAAGATCACTTCTGGCAAGCCCACAAATCTCCATCCAGATTGCTAATAATTTTTCAGAGAAAAAAACTGGTTTATGAGACAGGCTTATGTAAAACATTCCCGTTCTATTAAAGAAAGCCTACAATAAAAATAGAAATAAAAAGACTAGCACATAAGAGGTAAAGTTTAAACATTTAGGGAGTAAAACATTAATCAAGTTTGAGAAAAAAGTATTCTCTTCTTCACCTTCAGCCCAGACAGCAGAACAAGAAGAGGGGATGGAGGCATTTAAGAAGTCTAGATTGCGCCACTGCACTCCAGCCTGGGCAACAAAAGCGAACTCTGTCTCAAAAAAAAAAAAAAAAAAAAAGTCTAGAAGCCTAATGGGGGAAATAAATCCCTTAGGAAAAGATTCAAACAGTCCCTAGATTTCCCTAAAGCAATAATAATAATGTTCTGAGAGAGGGAAAGAAAGGCAGCAGGGGAAAAGAAAGTAACCAAGACAGCTGTGATCAAAACTTCATGAGTCAGCTGGGCGCAGTGGCTCACACCTGTACCCAGCACTTTGGGAGGCTGACACAGGCAGATCACAAGTTCTGGAGTTCAAGACCAGCCTGGCCAACATGGTGAAACCCTGTCTCTATTAAAAATACAAAATTAGCTGGGTGTGGTGGCACACATCTGTAGTCCCAGGTACTCAGGAGGTGGAGGTTGCAGTAAGCCGAGATAGTGCCACTGCACTCCAGCCTGGGTGAAACAGCAAGACTCCGTCTCAAACAAAACAAAACTTAACTTCACTGAGTCATAGCCATAGTTTTCTATTTTTTTCTTTTCTTCTCCTGCCTCAGCCTCCCAAGTAGTTGGGATTACAGGCATCTGCCAGCACCCTCAGCTGATTTTTGCATTTTTAGTAGAGATGGAGTTTCGCCATGCTGGCCAGGCTGGTCTTGAACTCCTGACCTCAAGTGATCCACCTGCCTCGGCCTCCCAAAGTGCTGGGATTAAAGGCATGAGCCACCAGGCCTGGCCGTAGCCACAGTTTTCTAGGTGATTATAGTTTTTAAATGTAAAATATGTGAGAGAGAGACGACAAAAAAGGACTATAAGATTTTTTTTTGGTTTTGCTTTATTCTTTTTTTTGAGACGAAGTCTCACTCTGTCTCCCAGGCTAGAGTGCAGTGGTATGATCTTGGCTCACTGCAACCTCTGTCTTCCAGGTTTAAGGAATTCTCCTGCCTCAGCCTCCTAAGTAGCTGGGATTATAGGCGAGCAGCACCACATCCAGCTAATTTTTGTACTTTTAGTGGAGACAGGTTGGCTAGATGCGGTGGCTCACACCTGTAATCCCAGCACTTTGGAAGGCTGAGGTGGGCAGACCACGAGGTCAGGAGTTTGAAACCAGTCTGTTTTGCTTTATTCTATCCATCCCTACCTGTCAGTTTAAAAATAAACACAGGTCTCATGGGATGATTTTCCCAACCACATCAAATATTTGTCTACCTTGAGAGATTCCAAATAACTATAAAAGAATTTAAAAAGCATATAATATGCAAAGAAAAAGTAAAGGAGAAAGGGAAGCAATCATTTGTATCTTAAGTAGTCATCAGGACAAAACAAACTAACAAGCAAGTCATTTCAGACCATAGGTGAACTCACAACCAAAAACTCCTAAGACTTGTGAATTACCAGAACTTGTGCATCCACCTTAGCAAAACAAAACCACCCACAGTGCACTCAAATTATTTCTGCCAAACTCTGGGTCTCCAGCTCTCATGGTTTTTACTTAGTAATATTTCCTCCTTTAAGATCCTTTCCTGTATTCTTTCTAGTAATATTTAGGCTCAGCCCTCATTTAGCTTCTGAGATCAGGTGCATTCAGGGAGGTATGGCCGTAGACTAGGCTCAACTCTATGAAAGCTTAGCTAAGATCTATATGGTCCTCCCTTTCTTTTCAAAGATAAAATTTTAAACAATGAGAAAAGCTGAAATATTAGACAAACTGGCAAACATACTCAACAGTGAGAATGTCATATATATATATATATGCCCTTCTACATATATATGTATGGTGCTTTAACATTTGAACACTTTATAATCCCTTGCTTCTGAAATTTGACCTATACTAATGCACGCATTCAAATAACATTGAGCATGGCTTTAAAAAGAAAGAAACCATTGTTCTAATTTTAGAATCTTCAAAAGAGAGAGAATTACTACTACTTTTTTTTGCTGTCCTGACACTATAAATATTCTTTTAGGAGGAAATGCTTTTTTCTTATCACTTAACTTCTTTCACTGACTTACTCTTGCTTCCTCACAATAAACCCTCTCTAAAGGTCTATAAAGAAGCCCCTCTTTACAATAAACTTCACACCTCCACACTTAAGCAGATGTGAAAAAGGAACCTATTCCATACCCAGTTCTTTTTTTTTTCCATTCACACTCTCTAGCCAACTATAAAAAACTAGAGGAGAGGCCGGGCACAATGGCTCACACCTGTAATCCCAGAACTTTGCGAGGCCAAGGCAGGTGATCACCTGAGGTCAGGAGTTCGAGACCAGCTTGGCCAACATGTTAAAACCCCGTCTCTACTAAAGATACAAAAATTAGCAGGGATGTTGGCAGATGCCTATAATCCCAGCTACTTGAGAGGCTGAGACAGGAGAATTGCTTGAACCCAGGAGATGGAGGTTGCAGTGAGCTGAGATCATGCCATTGTACTCTAGCCTGGGCAACAAGAGTAAAACTGTCTCAAAAAGAAAAAAAAACCTAAAAAACTAAAGGAGAATAAGAGAGGAGCTACAAATATAAATCCTTACACATAGAAGAAGAAAAAAAGACACTTTAAAAAATTATATAGGATTGGCCGGGCGCGGTGGCTCAAGCCTGTAATCCCAGCACTTTGGGAGGCTGAGGCGGGTGGATCACGAGGTCGAGAGATCGAGACCATCCTGGTCAACATGGTGAAACCCTGTCTCTACTAAAAATACAAAAAATTAGCTGGGCATGGTGGCTCATGCCTGTAATCCCAGCTACTCAGGAGGCGGAGGCAGGAGAATTGCCTGAACCCAGGAGGCGGAGGTTGCAGTGAGCCGAGATCGCGCCATTGCACTCCAGCCTGGGTAACAAGAGCGAAACTCTGTCTCAAAAAAAAAAAAAAAAAAAAAAAATTATATAGGATTATAGATTAGGTTGCGAGGACACTGGAAAGCTGGATGATTTAGGAGGCCTCAGAGGGATTAATAATGTCAACTGCATCTGGTAACACAGGAGAGTCAGGACCCAAAGATTAATGAAAATTGATTTGATAAAGGAAAGAAATGAAAGGGTAGGGAGAGAAATAAAGGAAGACAGACAGTGGGGAATAAGATTAAAGAGGGAAAGAAAAAAGGGACAAACTAAAAGAATAAATGACTGAGACAGAGAAAAAGCCAACAGAGAGAGGGAAGAGAATAAATACAGTACTATTGACCAGTTATGAGATACAACGAATAAAACAGAGAACTAGAGTTAGATGATAGGCAGAAATAAGAAAAGGGAGGAAGAAAATAAGACCACAAATAGAGCCGATATGAAGAAAAAGAGGAAAAGAAGGAAAGAAAAGGAGGAGGTGAATGAAGGAACAGAAAAGAGTAAGGTAAGGATAAAGGCTTTGTTTATTTTTTATTACACTGCCAAACTTCCCTGCACAGAGGCATAAAAAAAATTAGTCTCTGTGATATATTTTACAAAAATATAAAAGTCACATTCACATATTTTATTTTTTGATACTCCTCTCCCATTTTACAATCCCTAATCTAGCTCCTCTTTCTTTAGGCCATTTCTAAGATACTTTCTAGTCTAACACTGTCCAACTGTGACCAACCTTTCAGTATTTCCCCTCTTTTGATCAAATATAAATTTGCATTTGATAAGTTGGGAGTAGCTTTTAAGAGTTCCTAAGTGACTTCACTTTTGTCTTTCCAGGCAGACTTCCCAAGTCATTTTCTTTTATTTTTCCATGACATGTAAGTATGACACTCTGAACATAAGTGGTGAGTCCCTCAGATGTATGAAATAATTCTGTAATTTCCCAGCCTTCTCTGGAATTTAGCTGATATCAAAGATCTCCTGCCTTCATTTTGGCCCCCTCTCCACTGGCACAAAACATCCTAATCCTAATTACAAATGCCCTAATTTTATAAACTAGATCTTCGGGGTCCACTAAGTATTATTATAATTAAATAATACAACTTCTTAAACAGCTGACATGTGCAAGGCATTAAAGAATTGTACTAGGGCATGGTATACTCCAATTCTGTAGCTTAAGGGTCCATGTGGTATACAGTATCTGACTTAGATATTCAAGAATGTGGACTTAGGGTTCATGTCCTTACAGAATTTATTCTGGGAGACTGATTTTGGCCTTTAATCTTGTAAACCTCAAAAAGCACAGCTACAGATCATGGCAACCTTTCTCTTAGATTATTTTAATATACCATTATCAACGACTATAAAAGTCAACAGTGCTGTTTAAAAATAATAATAATAAAAGCAACTGAACAGAACAGTCATCCCAGAAACCTACGTACATCCACAGAATCCCATTTCCTAGACTCCTCTTGGGGTGGTTATAGCTAACACCTTCTAAAGCAGATTGCTAACAGTTCTCAAGTGAGCACAGAGTACTTTGCTACATTTTATCTTGTTGCTTAAACTCATTTCCCTAAAACATGAAGCAAAAATTTTGCTTAACTGTGTCTGCTGAATAAAAGCAAGTGAAGAGGAAATGAGCAACACTTACTGCCCTGGCAGCTTCCCCAAAGTCAATCTTTAGCCGTCCCATGGCTCTGATGATTGCAATGATGGACTGTATAGTATTGCTGTAGACAACTACTTTATATTGTTTACATTCATCCTCTGAATAGCCATCCTCATGAATGATTCTTTAAAACAAAGAAAACCACAAGTCAATACCGTGGACCTAAAATGAAAGATACTATGGACTTTTTATGCATTAGGAGAAATTTTGGTCTTAACAAAACACCATGTTCCAACTTACTTCATCTGTTTCACAATGGTGCTTTTACCAGATTCTCCAGCACCTGAAAGAAAAGAAAAGGAGACTTTGAATTTATCTGTCATTAACATAAAAGTATGATATCAACATGAATGATAACTCTGATTATCACTGATGGAAACCACAGGTCCGAGGGAAAATTTTGGTGAGGCTTTCATGTCTATCAAAAAAAAACTATGGAGCTTCTCTACTACAGATTTTGCTTTCTTTACATAACTCAACAACCAAGTATAATTTATTCAAAGTGTTCTAGGGCTTGCTTGATATCGTTTGTGTAAAATAAGCACACCCAAGGAGAGACAGCAAAATAAACTTTTGGAGGAACTCATTCACTACGTAAAACATAAACACTGAACACGACAAAAATGAAATGATTATTTTTTGGTCTATTCATTTTTATTAGTTCCTCTGTTGTCGCCTGCCCATACCAGAGGAATGATCTGAAAGCAATCCTAACAGTCATAGGACTAAAGATATTTCAAATGGAAGCAGAAAAGGCATTGTTCCTATCACTTTCTCATCATATGCCATCTCAAGACCCCCCCTTCCCTCCTTAGGCAGCTGGAATCACTTTAAACAAATGACCACAAATGTCAAGCTGGCCTTCTGAACTCCCTGACAAATCTACCTGCTAGATCTTCCCTACTCAATTCATTTTCCAATCTTCCAAGATGCCTATATCACACCATCTCCTCTCTCTCAAATCTTATAAACTCCTTCCCACTTCTGACTCTCAGCTGATGATCCTGTCCTACTTTTCTGTAAAATTTGAAGCAATCAGAATAAACTACCTCATTTTCCCACAACCGTATCTACCAGTCTATCTGTACTTCCATTAATATTCTCTACCAGCCAGTGGCTCGTGCCTGTAATCCCAGCACTTTGGGAGGCTGAGGCAGGCGGATCATGAGGTCAAGAGATCAAGACCACCCTGGCCAACACGATGAAACCCCGTCTCTACAAAAATACAAAAATTAGCTGGGCATGGTGGCATGCGCCTGTAATCCCAGCTACTCGGGAGAATGAGGCAGGAGAATCGCTTGAACCCGAGAGGCCTAAGTTGCAGTGAGCCAAGATCACGCCACAGCATTAGAGCCTGGTGACAGAGTGAGACTCTGTGTCTCTGTCTGTACACACACACACACACACACACACACACACACTTTCTCTTTCTCTCTCTCTCTCTATCTCTCTCCATTCATCAATAGGTGAAAAATCTCTGCCAATGTTTTAAGATCAACTTCCCTCCAAGTCATCACTGCTGCAATTTTCCACGATATTTCCCACATCTCAAATATCATCATTTTTTCTCTTTCCACTGGGTCATTCTCATCAGCATACAAACTTACTATATTATTTTCCATCTTTAAATCAACACACATACACAACTCTAACTTTCCTTGACCCCCACACATTTTCTTCTAGCTACCACTCCATTTTCTCTATCCCTCTTTACAGCAAAATTCCTCTAATGTGTCATCTGCACTTAAAGCCTCCAATTTTGCATATCCAATTATCTCCTTCAGCTATGCTAATCAGGCTTTCACCCCCACCACTCTATTGAAACCACTTCTCAAGGTCTCCAAAAACTTCCATCTTGACAAACCCAGCTGGTCAATTCTTGGTGGTTAACTTAGCCTCTCAAGCAGAATTTGTCTAAGTTGAAACATTTTCTTCACTAGACAGGCTTCTTCTAGCCAACATACCCTCCAGGTTTGATTCCTACTTCACTCCTCAATCTCCTCTCTCCAGTTTCTGCCTTTTTTTTTTTTTTTTTTTTTTAAGGTGGAGTCCTACTCTGCAGCCCAGGCTAGAGTGCAAGGGCATGATTCTTGGCTCACCACAATCTCCGGCTTCCGGGTTCAGGTGGGTCTCCCGTCTCAGCCTCCTGAGTAGCTGGGATTACAGGCACCTGCCACAACACCCGGCTAATTTTTGCACTTTTAGTAGAGACAGGGTTTCTCCATGTTGGCCAGGCTAGTCATGAACTCCTCCAGACCTCAGGTGATCACCCACCTCAGCCTCCCAGAGAGCTAGTATTAGAGGCCTGAGCCACTAGGCCAGGCCCAGTTTCTGAATTCTAAAGGTTGTATTGCTTCAGGGCTCCCTCCTAGGCCCTTTTCCCTAACTAAGCTCATTGTCTCAATTATTTAATCTCATGGTCTTTTTTTTTTCTCTCTGGAGACAGACTCTTGCTCTGTCACCCAGGCTGGAGTGTAGTGGCGCAATCTCGGCTCCTTGCAACATCTGCCTTCCAGGTTCAAGTGATTCTCATGCCTCCTGAGTAGCCGGGACTACAGGCATGCGCCACCGTACCTGGCTAATTTTTGTATTTTTAGTAGAGATGGGGTTTCACCATGTTCGCCAGGCTGCTCTCGAATTCCTGGGCTCAAGCAATTCACCTTCCTCGGCCTCCCAAAGTGCTGGAATTACAGAATTGAGTCACGGTACCTGGCCCTAATCTCATGGTTTAAAATACTATTTACAAACTGATCATAACAGTTAATGTCTAGTGAGTATCCTGTGCCACACAGTTCTAAGCACTTTTTAAATAACTAATTTAATCCTCACAATAACCCTATGAGGTAGATATTATTCCCACTTTACAGATGAGATAAATGATGCATAGAGATGTCAAGTAACTTGCCTATAATTACACAGTCAGTAAGTGGCAGAACTGAAATTTGCATTCATTAGGTTTGGCTGCAAAGCTGGTGTATACTACCTCTATACTAATAATTTCCAAATTTAGATCTCTAATCTTGGTTTTTTTTTTTTGAGATGGAGTCTCGCCCTGTTGCCGAGGCTGGAGTGCAATGGTGCGATCTCAGCTCACTGCAACCTCCACCTCCTGAATTCAAGTGATTCTCCTGCCTCAGTCTCCCGAGCAGCTGGGATCACAGGTGCATGCCACCAGGCCTGGCTAATTTTTTGTATCTTTAGTAGAGACAGAGTTTCACCATGTTGGCCAGGCTGGTCTCGAACTCCTGACCTATGATCTGCCTGCCTCGGCCTCCCAAAGTGCTGGGATTACAGGCGTAAACCACCACGCCTGGCCTAATCTTGGCTTCTAACCTTGGCTCCAGACTCATATATCTAAACTAGCTACCTAATATTAGATTTCTAGCAGGCACCACAAACCTAAAATGCTCAAAACTGAGTTACTGATTCCTCAACTCACTCTCACACCAAAACAAATCCTGTTCCTCCCTCAGTCTTCTCATTCCAGTAAATGACACCAACATTAATCAGTTGCTCAGGCCAAAAATGTCAGGTGGCATGTGACTAATATGCAGATCAGACAAGGATGCCAGTGCCAATCTGTATATTAAATATTAGTAAAGCTTAATTTTTAAAAATAAAACTAGATAAATAGTTAATATAGTTTTAACAATTTGCTCTCGCACATTGGAAACCACAGGCCTAGATCACTGCACAAGCTTCCTAAACAGTCCAGTGCTTCAGACCTTGCCTTTTCTACCGTCAGTTTGCCAGTCAGTAAGTAGGTGGAATAAACTTTGTAAAATGTAAATTAGATCATGTCACATGATCTCCAATTATACTAAAAATCCATGGGCATTATGGTGCAATATACTCTGGCCCCTGCCTACCTCTTTACCCTCATCTCTTGTTACTCTCCACTTTGTCTTCACTGCTCTTGTCAGACCAGCATTCTTGCTTTTTCTCCAACATACCAAACCGGTTCTTACTGAGTTAGGTCCTGACTCTGTCTTTCCTGTCTTTGCGTTTACTATTACCCGAAATGAGTTTTGCAAGATTTTCTTCTTCACAGGAACAGCTTTTCCTGACTAATCTATCTAGATAGCTCCAACCCCATCACACTCTCTCCCATTATTCTGTTATATTTTTTCATAGCACTTACCACTTATTCATGTGACAGACTGGCTCATTTCTTATCTTCCTCACTTAAATATAAGCTCTATGAAGGCTTATTTATCCCTGCATTCCCAGGGACTTAAACTGGCCATGACATAAATTAGCTAGTCAAATAAATATTGCTGAAAAATAAATGACTAATTATTTAATAACCATGATTCTTTACTAAATATTTCTCAACTCTGCTAACCAAGAGTTAATTAAAATCCAAATATAAAAATTCTAGACAAGTACATTCTTATTCAAAAGGTACATTTATATATGACCTTGTTCTCATTACATAATCGATGATCGGGGTAGTACTAAATAGTTAATATCAAGTAGCACACAGTGACTTTCTTAGGATGCTGTTATAAAAAGGTGAATCCTCCCATTCGTATCTAAAAAAAATAATGATTCTATTCTGGGGAAGACAATACAAATGCATACAAGTTATATTTTAAATTGTTTAAAAGACAGAATAACCATATTAACATATTCATATTACCCAATTTTCTTAGAGCTAATTTAAGAAAAGTTGAGATTAATGAATTAATGTGTACCATTCTTTTATACATTGAAAACCACATTCCAACATTCATGTGAGATTATCTTGAATGAAATAATAAATCTATTAATCTCAGAATCAATTTCTACCTATCTTATTAATCCTATCCTATGGCTGTGCTGATTTTTTTTTTAAAAAAACACTCTGTTATCCTACCTCTCTCACATTTTTCCAAGGCTCCTTGAGAAAATGCCAGTTTGCCATTCCCTTTATTATTGCACTAGTATCGTCTCCTGAGGTTCCAGTTGTTTCTTTAAAGAAAAGGCGCCTTGGCAGGGTGCAGTGGCTCACACCTGTAATCCCAGCACTTTGGGAGGCCAAGGCTGGTGTTTTACCTGAGGTCAGGTGTCCGAGACCAGTCCTGTCCAACATGGTGAAACCCTGTCTCTACTAAAAATACAAAAAATTACCCAGATACGGTGGTGGGCACGTGTAATCACAGCTACTTGGGAAGCTGAGGTATGAGAACCACTTGAACCCAGGAGGCAGAGGTTGCAGTGAGCTGAGATCGTGCCACTGCACTTCAGCCTGGGCAATAGATCGAGACACTATCTCAGAAAAAAAAAAAAAGGTACCTCTCA